AGCAAGAAATACGCTATTTTCCGAAACAGTTGGAGAATGTGAGCGTCTGAGTGACCCGTGGAAGCCCCAGGTTTGCTGTTGGTTTGGAAGGTCCCGAATGTAACCCAGGTGATTCTTGCGCGTGGCCTGTGTGAATCTTCCCGCCTGTGTGTTCGGTATTCTTTGCCCCTCCTCGCCCTTTGCTAGCAAAGCCATTAGATGAAAGGAGAACCCGGTACAAGCAGAAAGCATGCGACAGCGCCTGTCCCCCCAGCATAGGGAGCAGGCTGCTGAGAGGTGAGGCAGAGGCGACCCCGCCGGCCCCTCCCGCCGGTGTTTGGAGAGCTGGGTGGCGCCGTGGCCGCGCGAGCCCATGCTCCTTCTAACACTACACGTATAACCTACCTCAGAGCTCAGTCATTGCAACTAGCATGCTTTAGACGTGTGTTGGAAAAGTTAACTATGCACAGCTCTTTGTCTCCCCCTTGCTGCTGAAGGTTTCGTAAAGAGAAAAATCAAATTTTTTATTTTTTACTGGCACTGTCATTTTTTTAAAGTCCTAAAGATGATTAACAGACATTTTTATCATGAGAAGAAAAATAAAGCCATCGCAACTACAGAACCTAACAGCATGACCAGGTTGTAAGAGTAATAATAGGCCAGCAGAGGAGGACCGGGCCCGCGAGACAGCTTCCCAGTGCGCCCCAGGCCGGCCACAGGGCCGGTGCCACTCTCCCTTCGTTTTGTTTGCCCTGCCTGTTGCGTGCAAGGGAAGCATTTGCGAAGCTCTGTGCTAAGAGATTTTTCAGAATTAACGATTGCTTCGCAGCAGGTTCTCTCAATAACTGGTGCTAGCTCCAGAACCCCTTATTCTCACCCTTGGAAATCGTGGCCGAAGGCGACGCCTGGGTTTGAGGCTTTGTTTTTGTTGGGTCTGGTTTTCCGCAGAGCCTACGTTCCTCACCCCTCCCCACCCCTGGCTTCGCGGGTCCTGCTCTGCCTTCTCCCTGAGACAACAGTTGGCGGCATGGAAAGAGGGTGCACCTGCCCCTCTTGGTCGTCCCCCCAGCCTCTCTCGGAAAAGGGAGGCTTTCAGAGCAGGGTTTTTTTTACAACGCTAGAGCAAGGAAGGGGGCAGAGCTATGGGCTTTGCATCCAACAGGTAGACGCGTGAGGTTGTTGGCAGGGAGTAGACGGTAACTGATGGCCTTGAGAGAGATCCAACCCCACTTCTCTGTTGAAGTTGAACCACCGCGAGGCTGCAGACCGAGCAGGGGGTGGGAAACGCCGCGATCCCGGATGTGCCTCAACCAGTCTCTCTCCTTTTGTTACTGAGGTGTGTTTTATGGACTAGGAAGCATTTTTATGAATTGAAATCGTCTAAATAAAATGGTGCTATGGTGTTTAATGTGACTGTCCCCGATCCTGTCTTGCTGAGGTGCTATCCACGTGCTGAAACCACGACCAACCAAAAACAAGGTGGGCTCCAGTCTCCTGGCTTCTCGTCCCTCCCCTCTTCCGGTGCTGTCTTCTCAAACCTCTGTTTACCGTGCTCTAATCTGCTCTGAGCAATTGTGTTTTGTGTTTCACTATTCTTCCCTTGGTGGCCAAAAAAAACCCACAAAGGCAAGTGGAGAAGGCAGCTAGCTGCCGCCCCGCCTGGCGTGGCAGGTGTGTGTGGCTTTGACGCGTGTCTTCTCAGGCCTGAGGAGGGAGGGGGATATCTGGGGGAGGGTTGCAGAAAGGGAGTCGGGTGCTCCTGCCTCTCGGGGCAGGCATTCTCACAGCCAGGGCCGCACCGTCTGCGCGTGGGGCCCAGGGTGCTAAGCAGATGCCTCTGGGAGTCTCAAGGGTGCGGGAGGGGTCGGGGAGCATCTGCTTGTCTGGTGCCGGGCAAGGGGTCCCCTCTGCTCCTCGGGTGCTTCTGCCTCTCGTGGATGATCCCTTGTGTCCAAGCTAAGGGAAGGAGTGCGCTCTGCTCCCTCGATGCCACTGGGCTGCTTTTTAGTTGGTGCTATTCTCAATTTCTTCTTGGGTCCACAGAAGTTGCTGTTTAAGAACTCAACAGGAAGCTCCATTTTCTTGTGTCATCCACTGTCACAATTTTTTTAAATACCTCAAAACAGGACGTTGTGACAACTTGAGTGTAGTAGATTCCATGAAGGTCTGGCACCTGTGGGTTGCCCACTGGGTGATGTCCTCGGCCTTGGAGAATCCGGGTCGTTGGGCTTTTCCTTCTTCGCAGTCAGCGCACGCCCTGGAGGGCGGGGCGGCGGCGTGGTTGACTTTGTTTCAGTTGAAGTTTTGCTTTGGATACAATGTGAATTTCCTGTGCCCATCTCATTGAGCTTTCTCCGTTGTCATCGTGGCCAGTGCTGTCTCTGCATCCTGTCTCTTCAGCCAGCTGCCAACTCCAGCGTCCCCTGGACCAAAGGTGCACGCCCCCGCCTTGGCTGTCCGGCCCCACACTCATACATGCTTTGCGCTCTTCCCAGGAGTGCGGGGCCGTGCAGGCGAGAGCAAAGCAGTAGAGGCTGCCGCCCGGGTCGCGTGGGGCTCTGGCCGCCTTGTGCCCGAGTCGGCGAGCAGTTTGCCCCGCTTCCTCCTCCGCTTCTCTTCTGATATCAGGGATGCTTCCGTAGTGGTACTGTCCTGCTCTCTCCTTGGCGGGACGCCCGCCCGTCATCCAGGGGGTGGCTCCTCACTCTTCTCCCGGGGGTTTCGGTTAACACACAACTGGCTCATTTGAACATTCCAAATTGTCTTGGTTCCAACTCCATATCTTTTTTTTTTTTTTTGAGGGGGAAAAAGGGGGAGAAAACAGGAGTGATGTCATTTTTTTCATGTGTTCTTATTCAAGAAACAAGGACAGGTGGCATAGTAATGCATTAGACTTAACCTAGAACTCCTGTAGCTTTCTGATGTGTTTTATTTCTTATCTCTTTGAATTCCTGTTTGGTTACTTGGCTTCCAATGGAGGTGAACTTAACAACCATACTTGAATATTCCGTCTTGACTTTGTAAACTGTGGCTACTTGAAATGAAGTTTATCTGGGGTTGATGGATGAATGGTAGATTTTTTGCAATGTCTCAAGGCAATAGGATGTGTATTATTAAACTGTAGATATTCTTAGTAAATTTATGCTGATAATTTTATTTTGTATAATTTCTACCTTTTTGTTAATATTTTTTCCTTCTACTTTTATTGGTTTGCCTCCTGACGACCCCTCCTTGCCCTCCCTCCCTGCCCCCCTAAGTGTTTCAGTAAATTTAATTTAGGGTGCCTAGAAATTGCAAGTATGTATCCTTTTTTGATTTGTATTTTATTATAATTTACACAAACAACTGGGTTTGTGAACTGTATTACTCCTGGTATCTTTAAAATATTGTGGGTGTTTTAATAAATTTTATATTTATTTTTTGCACTCAAATTCAGTGTGGGTTCTCTTTTTTCCCCTCCCTGAACCAGAACTAGAGCGTGGTGTTGGAGGTGCACGCGCTGCTCCCCTGGCCGCGGCGTGCGGTGGGTGCACAGGGGAGCCCTCTGTCCGCTCTGCAGCAACCTGCGGGGGCTGGCAGCTGTGAACACGGGGTGTGAGGCTGGAAAGCAGAGACAGCCTTTCCCTCCCTTGTCTTTCTGCCCCTGTTTTCACTCGGAGATGCGTTCCTCCCCTTAAACTTGGCAACTTCTGGAGCAGCGCAGCGAGTTAAGCCTCCACCTGCAGTGCTGGCATCGCATATGGGCACTGGGTTGAGTCCTGGCTGCTCCACTTCCGATCCAGCTCCCTGCTCATGTGCCTGGGAAAGCAGTAGAAGATGGCCCAAGTGCTTGGGCCCCTACACTGACGTGGGAGACCCAGAAGCAGCTCCTGGCTTAGGCCTGGCCCAGCTGGCCATTGCCACCATTTGGGGAATGAACCAGCAGAGGCAAGATCGATCTCTTAACTCTGTCTTTCAAATAAAAATCTTAAAGGGCCAGTGCCGCAGCTCACTAGGCTAATCCTCTGCCTGCGGCGCCGGCACAGCGGGTTCTAGTCCCGGTCAGGGCACCGGAATCTGTCCCAGTTGCCCCTCTTCCAGGCCAGCTCTCTGCTGTGGCCCAGGAGTGCAGTGGAGGATGGCCCAAGTGCTTGGGCCCTGCACCCCATGGGAGACCAGGAGAAGTACCTGGCTCCTGCCTTCGGATCAGCACAGTGTGCCGGCCGCTGCGGCCATTGGAGGGTGAACCAACGGCAAAAGGAAGACCTTTCTCTCTCTCTCACTGTCCACTCTGCCTGTCAAAAAAAAAAAAAAAAAAATCTTAAAGAATCGGCACCTTTTGGTTCTGCTGGCCGTGGAGGAGAGGATGATCCCACTGGGGCCACGGGGATCGCCGGCTGCAGCGGTAGCTGGTGTGAAAGGGAAACTTTGGACTGAGGAAGGGGACAGGAGCATCCATCCACCAGCTTCATACCTCCAGCCAGAATTGATGCCATGGCTGAGAAGCCGCCCGCTGGGCAGTCGGCAGGTGGGAGCCGTGTCCTGGGAGGCCACTCCAGACAGGAAAGCTCATGGAACCGCATGAGCAAAACAGGTTTCATTTCCAGTGGGAGTGCCTTGGCACATATGGATGTCCAGGAGTGCACTTGCGTATGTGTGTGTGAGAGGGAGAGAGAGGGTATGAAGGAGGGAAGGAGAGGGGGGGCACACACTGGTGTGGTAACTTGCTTTACTCCTTTTTTAAAAAGAGACCTAGTTCATCCCCTTTCTGTCACCAGGGCCAACAGAGACTGATGGAGCAGTTGGGCAGCCGTAAATCCACTTCTTATTCAAGCTCCGCGTCCCATGTTAAAAACAAAAAACAAACAAACAAAAAAACAGGAGGGCAGAAGTTTCCAGTGACCCAAGAGCCGCATGATGGGTTGCAGGCATTTCCCGAGTGAGTGCGGCCATGGGTATGAGCAACATGACCAGTGCATGGACTTCACGTTTTGTTCTAACTCCATTTTCCATGAACTTTATCAAGCACCCTGGTATGTATATTTTTTAAATGGAATGCAGTAATAGTGGTGTTTTTTTTTTTTTAATTTAAATATTTAGGCATCCCTAACAGAGCTACAGCTCTTTAAATAGCTGCTGGGTATCTCATTGTATAGATAGAAAGGCATTTCATCACCCCCCTCTCATTATTGAACACTAGAGGCGCCGACTGCTGCGGCCATAAGCCAAACTAAGCTACACCCGCCTGCGTCTACCAGTTGTCCCGTGAGCACATCCGTGGTCCCGAACTTCCTGGAAACAGTTTCAGACCCTACCCCTACCCCCCCACCCCGTCTTCCTGGAAGAACCTCTAGACTAAAGTACTGCTGCTTCCGGGGAGATCACACAGCCCCAAGCTGAGCACCGAGACCAGGGAGCCCCACGATCGACTGGCGAAGGTGATCAGCTCTGTGAGGGCCTGGCCCCTCCCCTCCCAGGGGTGGGGTGTGACATGAGCTACTTCACCTCCCTCTGTCATTGTCATTGGCTATGAAACAGGCTGATGATACCATGTGGGACAGAGATGAGAGTCCATACTACTACTGCTACTACCGAAGTGAGAAGTAAAAGTGCCAGACCCTCAGGCCTCGGCGAGCAGTAAAGACCCTCGTTCTCGCTCCCGCTGTCTGCAGAGCTTGAGGTGACAAATCCAAACCCCACCTTGGAGCACACGGTGGCCTGGCCATGCCCGGCCGCGCGCCAGGTCTCCCGGCTCCAGCCTCTGGGAAATGCACTTTTTTCTTCACGCTACTAAGAGCCCTCCGAAGCGGACTGAGAATGCAGGTTTTCTCAAAGTGTTGGTTTTTCCTACCCAGCTACGCGTCCTGCTCATCTTAGGAGAAGCCCCTGGGCCTGGACTGCTGTGGCGGCACCAGGGAGGAAGCCCCAGCCCACGATGCCGGCGTCCGAGATCTGAGTGCCCTTGCTCTGCTGGGAGGTGGCAGGTGACCGTCCTGCTTGGGCCCTGCCACCCACGTGCGAGACCAGGACTGAGCTCCTGGCCCAGCCCTGACCATCGCGGCCGTTTGGGGAGTGAACCAGCAGGTGGAAGGTAGGTGGGTGTCTGTCTGTGTGTCCCTCCCTCCCTCCCCCATCCCCTGCCCCAATGTTCACTGGCACCCCTGGCTTCCTTCATCCCCCGCCTTCTGGGGCTTCCAGCCTCACGCCCCTGCAGCTCCGGCGGCCTTAGGCACCTGCCGTTCCCCTGCTTCCGGTCAGTAGCAGCTCCCCACGAGGCGGGCCCCTTCCTGGCTTCCTCACCCCTGCCTTTCTCCCTCCAGGGAGAGCTGGCTGCTAGGCCAGAGCCTCTGCTCCGGGGTGCCCAGGAAACTGCTCCCACGCTGCACAGCCGGGACAATCCCTGCCCCCTGCCCCCTTGGCAGGGCCCCTCTGTGCCCTCCTGCCATTTAAACACAAATGCCCATGGCAGGCATCCAGGTAAGGGGCTGGCTAAGACGCCTGTCCCTCAGCGGAGTGCTTGGGTTTGGTCCTCCTCTGGCTCCTGACTCCAGCTTCCTGCTAAGGCAGGCCCCGGGAGCAGCAGTGACGGCTCAAGGATTTGGGTTCCTGCCACCCAGGGGAAGACTGGGATGGTGTTCCCAGCTTCGACGCAGTCCAATCCGGTTCCCTCTGGGCATTTGGGGAGTGGATGGGCTCGCTCTCTGCTTCTCAAAAAACAAATGTCCCTATGGGAAGCCACTCAGCCTTCTCCACAGCCTACAGCCTTCCCTCGGTGGTCTTGTTCAGCCACCAAACCTCAGCCATGACCCCAGTCCAGCTCCTGACTGCCCTCATGGGTTTGAGCTACTGGACTAGGCAGGGCCAAAGTCTTAAACTCAGGGTAACTAAAAATGACCTTGCCACAATCTACCAAATTTCCCATCATTCTCCTGGTCACATGATGGCACCTGTCAAGTCCAGAGTCTACCCTTACACCTCACTGTCCTCATTCTTGCCCCTCCTGGCCACTATTATTGAGCGCTTACATTGCACAGTTGTGGAAGCTGTGCACTGCACATTCTGGAGAAAATCACTCAGACACAGTACCACGTGTACCCTGATCACCGAGATTCCTGCCACCTCAGGCAGGGCCCTGCTGGGTGAGGACCACACAGAGCCTTCTGAAGCAGCACCCAGGGGAGGCCTCTCAGGTCAAAGGACAGGTAGGAAATGACAGGGCCCAGGCTCAAACCCACAGGCATCTGACACCAGCGTGCCCTGTCCTCCACAGCGTAAGACCCATGGACCAAGACGCACGTTGTCCTCTGGTGGGAACCTGCCAGGTCATCCAGCTGAAGACAGGAGTCCGGATGTGCCCAAGAGGAGGGCACGACCTCAGCCTGGGGGTGGACAGGCCCCGGAAGCACGGTGGCTCTGCAGGCTTGTGCTCCTTAGAGCAGGTGGCTGGGTTCTGGCTCCCACTGAGCTCCTGCCCACTGCAAGCCCCCTCCCCACTCGGGGTGGCTCTTGGGGTGCAGTACGCCCTCACTGTGTCCCAGTGCCCCGCAGGCCCTGGCACCTGCTTGCAGCCCCAGCACCACACCCGGTGCTGTCTCAAAGATGGCTCTGGCAGGGGTACCATCAAGAGCTCCTTGCTTTTTTTGTCTAAGGTTATTGGGTTGTTTGATAAGGCAGAGTAATATGGAGGGAGAGACAGAGCTTCCATATTCTGGTTCACTCCCCAAATGGCTGCAACAGCCAGGTCGGGGCCAGTCCAAAGCCAGAAACCAGAGACTTGGTCCTGGTCTCCCACATGGGGGGCAGGGGCTCAGGTACTTGGGCCACCTTCCGCTGCCTTCCCAGGGGCAACAGCAAGAAGCTGGACTGGAAGAGGGGAACCTGCACTCAACCCACTGTGCCATGCTGCCAGGCCCAAGAGCTCACTCCATTTGAGGCCAATAAAATAATTCCCTAAACTGCACAACCACTCCAAATAAAGACACTGAACACAGTCCGGAGCGGCAGATGGCACAGCCGCTGAGGTCGCAGCTGGCAATGACCATAGCCGAGTGCCCGACTCCGGTCCCGGCCCCTCTGCTTCTGAGCCAGCTCCCTACGGAGGCACCTGGGATCACCCCAGCACTTAGGTCCCCGTCCTCCGTGTGGAAGGCCTGAAGGGCAGAGGTCCAGGCTCCCCAGGGCAGGGGACAGGGAAAGTAGGGGCACCTCAGCTCCAAGGACTCGGGATGGCATGGGAGGATCCCTGGCTGTCACAGGCTTGGAGCCCCGCCCAGAGTGCACATGGTGGCTTTGCTGCCGAGAAGGGGCTCGCACTGTCTCCAGACTGAGGCGATGTGCCCATAATCAGAACCCACTGTGCCTCCGAGATGGAATCGGCCGCCTGTCTTCGGCCCCAGCCTCCCCAGCCCAGCACTCCTGTCACCGGGCTACTGTCCGCAGGGCACAGATCACCCAGGCAGGAAAGCAAGAAACATCGGAGTTCAATGGCACTATAGGGGCCGGTGCTGTGGCGTAAAGGTAAACATCGCTGCCTGCAGCTCCAGCATCCCAGATGGGCACTGGTTCAAGTCCCGGCTGCTCTACTTCCAATCTACCTCCCTGCTACTGTGCCTGCGAAAGCAGTGGAGTATGGTCCAAGTGTTTGGGCCCCTGCACCCATGTGGGAGACCCAGATGATGCCCCTGGCTTCAGATCTGCCCAGCTCCAGCAGTTGGGGCATTCGGGGAATGAACTTAGATGTGAATGCAAGATGTCGATGCCTCTGTGTGTGTGTGTGTGTGTGTGTGTGTGTGTGTCTCACACTCACACAGCCTTTCAAATCTTTTTTTTTTTTATATTTATTTGAAAGAGTTAGAGAGGAGAGGCAGAGAGGGGTGTCTTCCATCTGCTGGTTCACTCCCCAGTTGGCTGCAACGGCCGGAGCTGCACCTATCTGAAGCCAGGAGCTTCTTCTAGATCTCCCACATGGGTGCAGGGGCCCAAGGACTTGGGCCATCTTCCACTGCTTTCCCAGGCCATAGCAGAGAGCTGGATCAGAAGTGGAGCAGCTGGGACTAGAACCGGAGCCCATATGGGATGCCGGCACTTCAGGCCAGGGCGTTAACCCACTTCGCCACAGTGATGGCCCCATAATTTTTTTTTATTTGACAGAGTGAGAGAAAGTTCTTCCTTCCATTGGTTCACCCCCCAAATGGCCGCCACGGCCGGAGCTACGCCGATCTGAAGCCAGAAGCCAGGTGCTTCTCCTGGTCTCCCTTGTGGGTGCAGGGCCCAAGTACTTGGGCCATCCTCCACTGCCTTTCCGGGCCACAGCAGAGAGCTGGACTGGAAGAGGAGCAACCGGGACAGAACCGGCGCCCATATGTGCTGCAGGCGGAGAATTAACCAAGTGAGCCACAGCACTGGCCCAAATCTTTTTTTAAAAAGGTTTGTTTATTTATTTGAAAGTCAGAGTTAGGAGAGGGAGAGGTCTTGTATCTGCTGGTTCACTCCCCAGATGATGGCTATGGCCAGCGCTGGGCCCATCCAAAAGCTAGGAGCTACCTTCATGTCTTCTCATGTGGGCCATCTTCTGCTTTCCCAGGCCATAGCAGAGAGCTGGATTGGAACTGGAGCAGCCGGGACTCGAACCAGCACCGATATGGATGGCAATGGCTTTACCCGCTTGCACCAGCCCCCAAGATATATTCTTTTTGTCAGCACATGGAACATTCTCTGGGATAGGCCATAAAACAAGCCTCAACAAACTTCTGTTTTTTTTTTTTTTTTTAAGATTTATTTATTTACAAGTTAGAGCTATACATAGAAAGGAAGAGAGAAAGAGATGGGTCTTCCATCGGGTCACTCCCTAGTTGGCCTCAATGGCCAGACCTGTGCTGATCTGGAGCCAGGAGCCTCTTCCCATGTGAGTCTCCCATGTGGGTGCAAGGGCCCAAGGACTTGGACCATCCTTCACTGCCTTTCCAAGCCAGAGCAGAGAGCTGGATTGGAACTGGAGCGGCCAGGACTTGAACCGGCACCAATATGGGATGCCGGTACTGACAGATGGTGGCCTTACCCACTATGCTGCAGCACTGGCCCTTCAACAAACTTCTAAAAAATTATATTGTCAGGGCTGGCGCTGTGGTGTAGTGAGTGAAGCTGCCACCTGCAGTTACAGCATCCCATGGGGGCGCCGGTTCAAATTCCAGCTGCTCCACTTCTGATCCAGCTCTCTGCTATGGCCTGGGAAGACAGTGGAAGATGGCCTAGACACTAGATCCTACATGTACATGGGTGACCCGGAAGCAGCTCCTGGCTTCCATATGGTGCAATTCTGGCCAGTGCAGTCATTCTGCCTTTCAAATAAATAAAGATACATTGTATTGTACCTCTTTTCTGACCACAATGGTGTAAAACTAGAAATTATACCAACAGGGGTGGACGGTTAGCCTAGCAGTTAGGACACTGAAACGCCTGATGCCAGTGTCCCCCAAATGCAGATGGGTCAAGTGCTGGGGTTCCTGCCTCCCACAGGGTGATCTGGATCAGAATTGTTTCCATTCTTGTTCATTTCAAAGAATTTTCCTTTTGATTTCATCACCGATTCATTCAGAAGCATATTTTTCAAACCTCTGTGCTTATATAATTTTTAAAAATTATTTATGGCCAGCGCTGTGGTTCAGTGGATTAAAGCCCCAGCATCCCATATGGGTGCTGGTTCAAGACCCGGCTGCTCCACTTCCCATCCAGCTCTCTGCTGTGGCCTGGGAAAGCAGAAGATGGCCCAAGTCCTTGGGCCCCTGCACCCACATGAGAAGACGTGAAGGAAGCACCTGGCTTCAGATCAGCTCAGCTCTGGCCATTGTGGCCAACTGGGGAGTGAACCATCGGATGGAGCACTTCTCTCTCTCTGCCTCTCCTGCTCTCTGTGTAGCTCTTTCAAATAAATAAATAAATCTTTAAAAAATAAAGGGCAAGAGGGCAATAGAATACAGACCAGAGATAAAATAAATGAAATAGACTTCTTAAGCAATTCAAAAGATCAGTGAAGAACTGGGTTCTGAAAATATAAAACTGATAAACCTTTAGGTAGGCTAGTAAGAAAAAAAGATGAGATATTACAACCAGTACCACAGAATACCAAGGATTGCTGGGTACCCTTGCAAGCAACTATATGCCAACAAATTGGAAAGGCCTTCTCTAAGCCCATGTAACATGTGAACAATGAAGACACAGAACTTTAACAGACCAATAGCAAATAATGAGATTGAACCAGTAATCAAAAACCTCACCAAAAAAATTCCAGGAACAGACAGCTTCACTGCTGAATTCTAGCAAACATTTAAGATTTATTTGAGAGGCAGAGTCAGAGGGAGAGACAAAGATCTTCCATCTGCTGGTTTACTCCCACAAATAGCTACAATGGCCAGAGCTGGGCTGATTCAAAGCCAGGAGCTTCTTCCAGGTCTCCCATGCAGGTGCAGGGGCCCAAGGACTTGGGCCATCTTCCATTGCTTTCCCAGGCCATAGCAGAGAGCTGGATTGGAAGTGGAGAAGCTGGGACTTGAACTGGCGCCCATATGGGATGCCGGCACTGCAGGCAGTGGCTTTACCCTCTGCCACAGCTCCAACCCACAAAGCCTTTCTTTTATGTAGGAGTACTATTTTCTTTAGCTTAGCTGCTAAGATGCCCTTGTCCCTCGTCAGAGTACCTGGCTTCAACTCCAGACCTTGTCTCCTGATTCCAGCTTTCTGCTAATGCAGACCCTGGACAGACCGTGGGACACAGCAGTGACAACTCAAGTAACTGGGCTCCTGCCACCCAGAAGGGAGACCTGGATTGAGTTCCCAGCTTTGGCCCCAGCCCACTGTAGTCATTGTGGGCATTTGGGAAGTGAACCTAGAAGATGAAGGCGCTCTCTCCTCATTTGTGTGTCTCAAACAGGTAATTTTTAAAAAGAATGTCATACTCAAGGTTGTAAGTTTCAGCAAGAGTTAAATGACATAGGGCTGTTCTAATTGGACAGTTTAGGTAAAGGATTTTATTTTCTATTAGGTTTACTATTTTTTTAATTTATTTGAAAGAGTTGGGGCTGGAGCTGTGGAGTAGGGTAAAGCTGCCACTTGCAGCACTAGCATCCCATATGGGTGCTGGTTTTAGTCCCGGCTGCTCCACTTCTCATCTAGCTCTCTGCTATGGCCTGGGAAAGTAGTAGAAGATGGCCCAAGTCCTTGGGACCCTGCTATCCATGTGGGAGGCCTGGAAGAAGCTCCTGGGCTTCGGATCGGCACGGCTCTGGCCGTTGTGGCCATCTGGGGAGTGAACGAGCAGATGGAAGATCTACCTTTCTCTGTTCTTTCTACCTCTGTTTCTCTCTGTGTAATTCTCATTTTCAAATAAATAACTATTTAAAAAAAGTTACAGAGATGGGTAGAGCCACCTGCTGGTTCACTCCCCAGATGGCCACAATGGCCAGAGCTGTGCCCATCTGAAGCCAGGAGCTAGAACTTCTTCCAGGTCTCCCACATGGGTGTTGGGGCCCAAGGACTTGGGACCATCTTCCATTGCTTCCCCAGGTCATAGCAGGGAGCTGGATGGGAAGTGCAGTAGCCGGGACTCAAACCGGCACCCATATGGGTGCACTGCAGGCTTGGGCTTTAACCCACTATGCCACAACGCTGGCCCCTACTTATTTCTTTTCAAAACCACAACTTTTACTGAGTGACAAAGGACTGCATGCCACTGCACTTTGAGACACATTGAGTCATTTGTTCACCTACTGTGTGCCAGCCAGTGTTCAATGAAAAAAGCAGTCAAAAAATTCCTCTGTCCTCAAGGATTTTACATCATTGTGATGGGCCAGGGAGTTTGGATGATAAACACTTAAGAATTATCATGGGGCCGGCACTGTGGCATAGTAGGTAAAGCTGCCACCTGCAGTGCCGGCATCCCACATGGGCGCCAGTTCAAGTCCCGGCTGCTCCACTTCCGATCCAGCTCTCTGCTATGGCCTGTGAAAGCAGTAGAAGGTGGCCAAAGTTCTTGGGCCCCTGTACCCACGTGGGAGACCCGGAGGAGGCTCCTGGCTTCAGATTGGCACAGCTCCAGCTGTTGTGGCCAATTGGGGAGTGAACCAGCGGAGGGCAAACTTCTCTATCTGCCTCTGCCTCTCTGTAACTCTGCTTCAAGTAAATCTTAAATGAATGTATGTCTTTTTTTTTTTTTTAACAGAGCATGCACAGGTGCACACACTTGCATCCACTGCTTCACTTTCCAAATGGCTACAACAGCCATGGCTGGGCCGGGCGGAAGCCAGGGGTAGAAACTCCATCCAGGTCTCCCATGTGAGTGGCAGGGGCCCATGTTCTTGAACCTTCTGCTGCTGCCTTCCCAGCTGTGTTAGCAGGGAGGGGGATCAGAAGCAGGACAGCAGGGACTCCCACCGGCACTCACAGGATGCTGGAGTGATGAGTAGGGGCTTAACCCACTCCAACACAAGCCAGCCCCCCTACCAAACTTTAGAAGAACTAACAAGTTTTTCTCAAACCATCCCAATGAATTAAACTGGAAGGAACTCTTCCAAATTCATTCGTTCTGTGAAGCCATCATGACCTTGATTCCAAACCCAGACAGGAACACGACAGCAGCAAACAGAAACCACAGACCAATAAACCTGAAGACACAAATTCTCAGAATACTTGCAGGTTGAATCCAACTGTAAGTAATCAAAAAGATCATCCATTAGGACCAGGCCTAGCTTACCCTGGAGACGCAGGTGTGGTTCAACATACACAAATTGATAAATGAATGTGGTGTAGCAGGTAAATCTGCCGCCTGTGGTGCCGGCATCCCATATGGACGCTGATTTGAGTCCTAGCTGCTCCACTTCCAATCCAGCTCTCTGCTGTGGCCTGGGAAAGCAGCAGCAGATGGCCCAAGTCCTTGGGTGCCTATACCCAAGTGGGAGATGTGGAGGAAGCTCCTGGCTTCAGATCGGTGCAGTTCCGGCCGTTTCGGCCAATTGGGGAGTGAACCAGCAGATGGAAGACACCTCTCTGTGTGTAACTCTAACTTTCAAGTTAATAAATCTTAAAAAAAAAAAAAAAAAAAGAATGCCACACATCAACAGAATGAAGCATACAAATGTTATCTCAGTAGATGCAGAAAAAACATTTGCTAGAACTCAACATCCATTGATGACAAATACCCTGCATAACTTAAGTATAGAAGGAATAAACTTCCACATACTAAAGGCTATAGATGATAAACCCACAGCCAATCTCATAATGAATTTAAAAAAGCTTAAAGCATTCCCTCTAACATATGGAACCAGACAAGGATGGATGTCCCCTCTCACCACTCTTAATATGGTACTGGAAGTTTTAGTCAGAGTCACTGGGCAAGAGGAAGAAACAGAAGGCAGCTGGCGCCGTGGCTCACTAGGCTAATCCTCCGCCTTGCGGCGCTGGCACACCAGGTTCTAGTCCCGGTCGGGGCACCGGATTCTGTCCCGGTTGCCCCTCTTCCAGGCCAGCTCTCTGCTGTGGCCCGGGAGTGCAGTGGAGGATGGCCCAAGTACTTGGGCCCTGCACCCCATGGGAGACCAGGAGAAGTACCTGGCTCCTGCCATCGGATCAGCGCGGTGCGCCAGCTGCAACGCACCGGCCGCGGTGGCCATTGGAGGGTGAACCAACGGCAAAGGAAGACCTTTCTGTCTCTCTCTCACTGTCCACTCTGCCTGTCAAAAAAAAAAAAAAAAGGCATGCAAATGGGAAAAGAGGAAGCAACATCCTCCCCATCTGCAGAGACTGATTCCATAGATGGAAAAACCTGAAGACTCCACCAAAAGATTATCAGGAAATGATAAATGATGAAAGGTACAGGTTAAAAAACCCAAACACCAAAGTCAGTAGCTTTTTCTCTTTCAAATAAATAAATCTTTAAAAAAAATTTAAGAGTTAGAGAGGCAGAGAGAAGTCTTCCATCCGCTGGTTCACTCCCCAATTGGCCACAACAGCTGGAGCTGCACCGATCCAAAGCCAGGAGCTTCTTCTGGGTCTCCCAAGTGGGTGCAGGGGCCCAAGGACTTCTGCTTTCCCAGGTCACAACAGAGAGCTGGACTGGAAGCAGAGCAGCCGGGACTCGAAATGGTGCCCAAATGGGATGCCAGTGCTTCAGGCCAGGGCTTTAACCCACTGTGCCACAGCACCGGCCCCAATCAGTAGCTTTTTAACTGAGAAACAACCCTTATAGAACAATCCTATTATCAATAGGTAAAAAGTAAATAAAAAATCTTGGAATAAATTTAACCAAGGATATGACAGACCACTCCAATAAAAATTACAAAACACTAATGAAAGAAATTGAAGTGCCAATGCATTGCAACACCAGATTTCAAGACAGGTGCGAGCAACTTATTTTTTCAGTATATTCCTGGTTATGTCTGAACTGAAGCTCACTTAGCATGGATATTTTTGGCCAAGCTGTTGGAGGGATTTTTTTTTCTCTTTGTTAGACTTTTGAGGTGGACAGTGTATACCGATGATGTTTTAACTCATCCTCATGTAATATGCAGAACTCCCAAATCCTACTTCTCTTGAAAGCCTTATGATCTGAAGTGGAAGTAAGTAAGTAAAAGTTAATTGAGTCTTAAAGGTTAGTATGTTCAGAGGGGGGCCGCTAGCTTAGCTCTCAAGACACTGGTTGGGATGCCTACACCCAAAGTGTCTGAACTCCACTCCCCTTCTCGGCTCCCGACTCCAGCTTCCTACTTACACGGACCCTGGGAGGCAGCAGCGTGGGTTCAGGCAGTTGGTTCCTTGCCACCCACATCAGGGAGCCAGACTGTATTTCTGGTTGCCAGCTTCTGCCCCGACTCAGCCCCTGGGAGGCGGTGGTGCCAACTCAAGCTGTTGGGCTCCTGCCGCTGGCTCTAGGCTTCACCCTCTGGCCCAGGGCCTTTTCAGGCACTGTGGAGTGAACAGGGGGATAAGAGTTCTTTATTGCTTTCTCTGCCTCTCTCAAATACATAGAAAGATGAATAGGTTCAAAATTATGAATGTTGGTACCAAAAATTCTGCAATTAGAATCATAAAAATAGAATTTACAATCTCAAGTTATTTAAAAATATATACACTTTTTTTGGCTCAAAAAGAATATAATGTCTTTCTTTGCTTTCTTGGAGAACACAGTCTCTCAGTCTTGGTGTTAACTGTCAGCCTGTTTCCCTGTGCGTTAAATCTACAGTTATTTGGAAATTCTTAACTGTTTTTGTATAATGCATAGCTTTCCTAATCATTAGTTATTGCAGCATATTGCTCTTGTAGTATTAAATATAAACTATTTCAACCAACTGCCACAATTTAATATATAGAGCTTTCCTATATACAAAATAAAGTGAATATAAAAAAGGAAAATGGGGTTAATACTTTTTGGGGGGACTAATTTAAAATTCCATGTCTTTTTTAAAGTGTGGGTTTATACATGCATGTTGGTCAATCACAGCAATAGGTAATCAAGTTATAATCTTTGAGACCTAACGTGCAGATTTTTCATGACAGCTCATTGTCCCACATGTCCCTGTTTGAAAGATGGTGCAGCAGGAGCACCTCCCCACAATGCATTCCTCTTCGCTCACAGCTGAACAAGAAGGAAATGCACAAACAGGAAAAACTGCAAATGCATAAGATGGGCAGAGACAAAAATCCCATTCCATAATAAATTATAGAAATTGCAATAATGTGGCCAGCACCATGGCTCACTTGGCTAATCCTCCACCTGCAGCACCGGCACCCCGGGTTCTAGTCCCGGTTGCTCCTCTTCCAGTCCAGCTCTCTGCTGTGGCCCGGGAAGGCAGTGGAAGATGGTCCAAGTGCTTGGGTGCCTGCACCCGCATGGGAGACCAGGAGAAGCACCTGGCTCCTGGCTTCAGATTGGCACAGCGCAGGCCGTAGTGGCCATTAGGGGAGTGAACCAACGGAAGGAAGACCCTTTCTCTCTCTCTCACTAACTCTGCCTGGCAAAAAAGAAGAAAAGAAATTGCAATAATGCCCATGTCTGGTTTTTCAAGATTGATTCTAGTGGGATTTTTAAAATAATTATTTGAAAAGCGGTGAGAGTGAGAGATGGAAATCTTCCATCTGCTAATTCACTCGCCAAATGGCTGCAAAGGCTGAAGCCAGGAGCCTGGAACTCCACTGGGTCTCCCATATGGTTGACAAGGGCTCCAGCACCTGGGCCATCTGCTGCTGCTTCCCCAAGCACATTAGCAAGGAGCTGAATCAGAAGTGGAGCAGCCAGGATTCAATGTGGCACTCATATGGATTGCCAACATCACAGATGGCTGTGCCACAACACCAGCCCCCTCTAGTGGATTTTAAGTGTCTTCAAGTTACAAATTTTAAACACCTGCAGTATCCAAGTGGTCACACATAATTCAAGTTGCCCAAGTTCCATTTCTTCATCCTTACAAGCAGTGTACTAAAATTATGTCCAATGCATTGTTTAAAGCAGGGCACAGCTGCACCATCAGATTTGGAGACACTGCATTTACTCCAAAGATTCAGTACCTTTACAAATTTACTCCACAAAGCTTGCCGCTCAGGGTGGGCGTTTGGCACGGCTGTCCAGTAAGACACTGCCCGGGATGCCCATATAGTGCGAGTCCCAGCTCCTCGGCTTCCAACTCAGCTTCCTGCTCATGTGCACCCTGGGAGGCAGCAGGCGGTGCCACCACGTTGGAGACCCAGTTGGGGTTCCTGGCTCCCGGCCTCAGCCTGGCCCAGCTCCAGCTCTTGCCAGCACTTAGGGACTGAACCAGCAGATGGGAGATCTCTCTCTTTCTGTGTGTCTCTCTGCCTTTCAAATAAATGAAAAAATTATGAACAGTGAAAGGAAAGCCAAGAGGAAAACTCACTTTAAACCAAAGTAGTCATTTTGTTTTTCAGCATTAAATCTTTTTATTACAGCAGCCATCAGGCCTCAGAGCCAGCAGCCTGCCAAAGAGCGAGGTCTGGCTTCAGGACTTCAGATCGCTCCCAACCTACCATCTCACCGGGTACCCAGCAGCCAGTGCCAGTGACACTGTCAGCAGATCCCCAGCTGCACTCCTGCCCCGCCCACATCTCCGCTCCCCAAGGCCCTGGGGCCACTGCTCAGCCTGGAGACTCGCCCCTCCATCTACAGGAAACACACTCCCCAGGCACGCACTTACAGCCCTCTCTTCCTTCTCTTTTGCAAAACACCCCTTAATGCAGTGTCCAAGTGTTCACTCCACGGGTAAGAAATGAACTATCAGACCACTAAAAGACATGCAGGAACCTCCGGTGCATTATTGATAAGTGAAAGAAGTGGACATGAAGAGCCTACACACGGTATGACAGTCCAGAAAAATCTGTGGAGACAGCACCGAGATCAGTAGGGCTGGGGAGATGCCGAGGTGGAACACGAGGGATTTTTAGAGCAGTGGCACGATCCTGTGTGGTACTGTGAGACAGACACGTGTCATCACATACCCATGAGCACACACCAGCAGCAGCAAACCTTAACGCAAACCAGGGACTTCAGCCAATCATCACGTAGCAACAGCGGCTCATCCGTTGTGACAAGTAGCGCCCCCTAATGTAAGATGTCAATTAACGGGGGTCACTGTGTGGTTGGGATGAGGCTTTATGGGAACTCTACTTCCTACTGAATGTCTCTGAGCACGAAACTGCTCTAAGAAAGAAATCCATCAAAAGCCTACAGAAGCGTTCCCTCGTTTTTCCTGTTTTTGTATCCAATCCATTCATTGCTTTAGCAACTTCCGACATTGCCTAGAGTTGCCAGCAGGTGGCGACCACAGGCAGCAGCGGGCATTTTCGCTTTCCAGGTGGGCCTGGGCTCTGCAGGGCCCCGTGGCAACCTGGCCCGCAAAGCCCTGCCCCCAGACTTGCTCTCAGCAAACTCTTGTTTCCACACATTCAGACCAAAGCCTTGGTGCCATCCTGACTCTGTCCCTCTCACAACCCACCTCCAATCCCCAAACAAATCTCGATTCATCTACCTTCAAACTGTATGCATGGGGCCAGTGCTGTGGCATAGTGGGTAAAGCCACCGCCTGCAGTACCGGCATC